TAATATTATTAATATTATTATTATTATTATTTTTGTTTTTTGTTGTAGTTTTTCTGTTTCTTATCTGATTTTTTATTCTTAGATTTGGTCTCCGTTCTCGTTATGATATAAGGATAAAAATTTTTTAATTTGTTATTTCACCTCTACTTTAATTTTTTTTTTTGCTGTTATATAGTTAAATTATTTTTTTTATATTGTTTTAGGTGCTATTTTCTAAACTTATTTGTACTATATATATGGTTTTAGTTGTATGGTGTTGAAGTTTTTTGGTATTATTGATTAGTGTGTTAGGGTTAGGTACAAGTGTACCTTTTTCCTTTACGGTTTGTGCTCTTTGCTTTGTAATAATATTTTTGGTGAGGGTCGTTGTTCTCGGTGTTTATGATGTGCTTCCATAGCGGATTTTGCTTTTCTACGGGTTTTGGCTGGTTGGTTAATAACTACACTGTTGGCGTTACAGCAGAGACAGCGATATCTGATGCTTTTTGCATGGATGTTAAAAAGTTGTTTGAAGATACTGTATGGTCGTTGAGATAAACTTTTATATATCTGCATTAGTAGTGGATCATGTTTCACTAACTTTATTTAATTTGGTTAATTGAAGTAGTAGTTTTTTTTATCTTGAATTGATTTTGATTTGTGGAAAACTGTGACGAGGTTTTGTGGACTAAATAATTATTCTTAAGTTCTATTTGTTTTATTCTTTGTTGTTGGTTATCAGTTTTTTTGGCAGGAATTTGTATTTTCTCGTTTATTGGCAATATGTGTTGATGATTATAGTGGTTTAGTGTAGTAATTATTCCTGTTTCAAACTTAGTTGGTACTTAAGTAATTGATAGTAGCAAAGTAGGTCTTCAAAACTTGTCGTGGTCAAACCAGTCGATTTTTTTTTCTGCTATTACAGGTGTTTTTCATTGAACTTTCATTGCATAAAAATCTGCTGTGTGATTAAAGGTTTTTTTGGCCACAGGTTTTATTTTTAGCATTTTTTTAAATGAGGAACAGTGTAGCTATGGTAATTTCGTGAATTATTTCATTTATTTGAAACGTCTGAGAGTTTTTTTAAAATTTATCAGCAATGGGTCTTTATGGGAAGGTAGTTGTAATAGGTGCAATGAGTTACCATCATTTTACTATTAACTTTTGGCTGCTGTGGATGGTTTATCTTTTTAGACGTTGTTCCGTTTTCTGATATGACACAAGTTACTTTCTATATGTATTTTGGTCATTTTTGGAAAGTTTTGTACATAATTATTTATACATAGCGTAGGGGTCGTTTTTTTGTTTGTGGTGTACTTATATAGTAGGTTTTGCTATGCTTATTGGTTATTAACTACTTTATTGTTCTTCGAACAGGTAATGGTACCTAATGCTATTAATTTGCGTGGTAACAGTTATCTGAAGATATTATATGGTTGTTGCTGTAAAATTTTATTTCTGGTACTGCGTCCTGTTCCTTTAACTTTGATTATTTTGATTGATTTTCATAATGGTCGTTAGGTCATAAAAGTGATCTCAGACTGATTTTGGTGTTACTGGTAATAAGGGATTGTGATGGGACCTAGTGAAACCGTATAGATTTTATTTAAATCTAGCTTGTTTGGTCTTTTTTTTGTTGATTATGAGTTTTATCCGTTTTTTATTCCTGCTGCTAATAACTCTTGACTTCTTAATGACGGGTTATTTGATTCGGGGTAAACTAACAAAGTAATGGAGCAGAATATTTTTTGTAAAAAGGTGATAAAAGATCTGTGACCTTTCCGTTCATAATGTTTTTTTAAAAAAAAAAGCACAATTTAAAGTAGAGAAGATCATGAAAAAAAAATAGACAGTGCAAAAAGCTGAACGTTTAAAAACGAAGGCTGTGATGACATTCAAATGTTGCAGGCAGTGACTTGTCTGGAGGTAAATTTTTTAGCTGGATGAATACTTTGTCATAACAGGCTTATATAAACAAGGTAGCGTTTCCAGGTTATCCTTCACTTAGAACATTGTTTCTGGACGAATGTTCTTGCCAAGATTTTTCTGTTTTGCATTAACATGGACTGCTATATTTGCAACATTAAGCAAAGAAGACAGGCCAAAAGGACCCAAAGTTACAGACAAGGTAATCTTCTCTGTCTGAAAATCTTGCTACTGATGTCTTTTGTGCTTTTTTCACCCCTCTAATTTAATCACAATACAACCACAAGTGTTATAGTATGGCTTCTTTAATAAAAGAAACTTCTAAGAACTGAAAATAGTCTGGTGGTAATAACTCATTTGTTAGATCCGTAACATAATCGACAATGGTGTTTGTCATGGAGGCATTTGCAGGTCTTTTTTGACATCAAAATTGGCGATGAAGAGATTGGACGTATCGTTATTGGCCTTTTCGGGAAAACTGTACCAAAAACTGTGAAAAATTTTGTAGAGCTTGCTAAAAAACCAAAGGGAGTAAGCGTTGCAGTATTTTAATTGCAATTTAATTGTGTATTTCCAGGATATTTTTTATTTCACATTCTTAGTAACTAATCAGTTGTCAAATTTACACTGTCATTACAATAATTTTTTCGAAATGCTGCGTGGGTGAAAGGAGCTTGGAATACCAGTGAGAATATGTCTTCTAATGGTTACCCGAATCGTATTTTTCTAGAACAGAGAGAGGTGCTTAGAGTTTAGTTTAAATTAAAGAAGTTTGCAGGAAGGCTACACAGGATCTGTTTTCCATCGTGTGATCAAGGGTTTCATGATCCAGGGAGGTGACTTCACAAAGGTATGTAGATGACATGTAAAGTCGATTTATTTCTATGAAAAGCATTTCTTATTGGGAGTAACCTGTGCCTCGTTCAGGGCGATGGGACTGGAGGAGTATCAATATATGGAGAAAAGTTTGCCGACGAAAATTTCAAAATAAAGCATTATGGAGCTGGTTGGGTAAGCATGGCTAATGCTGGTAAAGACACAAATGGGTCTCAGTTTTTCATTACGGCAAGAATGACCTCCTGGTTAGATGGACGTCACGTTGTTTTTGGGAAAGTAAGTAAAAAATCATCAGGCAGAGAGCCTTCGACAAAACTTTCCCCTTATACCTAATTTGTTGGTCACAAATACATTCAATTTTCTGGAGAAATTTTAAGGTATAGAACGCTGTTGGCAGTACTGGTGCTGTAGCTGTAAGCCTTTGCCCTTCAATCTTTAATTAGGGAAAATTAAATCATTAATACAATGTAATTCCAGGTGCTTGAAGGTATGAAAGTGGTCAGAAAAATTGAGTCAACAAAGACCCAGCCTGGAGACAAGCCAGAAACACCGGTAACAATATTTAGGGCAGGGCACATCCCTGTTGAGAATCCATTCCCAGTTGAAAAAAGCGACGCAACTGATTAGCCTGTTTACTGCGACACCCTTCAACAAAAATTCTCCGCAGGCAATGGCGATTCCTCGGAGGTAACTGTTTCGTTACGAAAATCCCGTTAAAAACCTCCGCCCTATAAGTCTCAGAATTTTGTTGTATTGTTCTTAAAATGCATAGCCGTCTCCCATCATGTTCTTGATGTTCAGTTGTTAATATTTTCTTTTGTTTTGTTTTAAATGTCTTTCTCCCATCTGCTCACATTAAACAGGTAATTTGTTGTTAACTCATTCGGTTTTTTCTTGCAGCTCCCTATACAAGTGTTTCTTTTGCTGTGGTTAGTTGAGAATGAGCCTAAAAACAATATTTACCAGGACTGATGCTAAGAAAAAAATATTTCACCAAGTACCGTAACTCCCAAACCTAATGTCAAATTTGATAAAACTCAAATAAGAGTTTACAACCCTTCCCCTCCACCCTTCAAGGTTATCAGCTCCAATTAAAATAATTAACTGTTTAAGAAAGATCAACTGGTAAAGAAAATGTAGTCGAAATTTGTGAAATAAAGGACATTAAAGAATAAATAAATATCATTTGGAACCTTGTCATTAAATTTTATCTGGTTTTAAAATTAGAAAATTGCACGAGACGCTTCACATTAATGTATCCATTACTTCAGACAAAACAGGCCTTTATTACCAAATCTGGTTCCAACGAAGTTATTTCACTCCTGAATAACTGGGCGTCTTTCCACGCTTCATCCCCTTCTCCGCCAGCAAAAGTAATCTTTAAATCCACTTTACTGCCATTCAACTCCCGTAACTCAAGATTACCATCGCTTGGGACAAGTGTACAACAGTCATCAGAACACACCACTGCGGACACTTTTCCCTAAAATAAACGTTATACCAGAAGTGGCTCTTTTCAAAAAAGTTAAAATATTTTCACCATTAAACAAAAGCGGTAATAAAAATAAACGTTATGGAATTCCGTCATTCCCCGAAGAGAAATCTCCAAACTCTCGATCCGGTTGCTGTCGAAATTAAAAGACCATTTTATTTCCCCTGACGATGCCCCTTCTTTACGACACAAATAAACGACTTTCAGATCAGATTCTTCTTTACGAATTACATCCTTATGACTGTACACACAACTCATCCAACCATGTATCGTCTCTTCCTCCCACTTATATTCATCCGTTGCACAATTGTAGTTAAAACTAAAGACAATGATATCACGAAATAATATCTCAACTGCAAAATCCTAATAATGACAAGCATGAATTATATTTAAAACCCCACCAAAAAATCTTATTGATCTTCGATTCTTTAGGAGTAACAACAAAAGGCGTTTGCAGCACTGAAGCGCTATCTTTTCCAACTTCTTTTGCAGGTCCAGTCGATCCTCCAGCGACGCACAAACTAATTTCTTGTCCTCCTGTTCTTTCAGCGCCAATTTGCACCTGAGGAGAGAGGAATTCAACTAATTCCTTTATGTTTCGACGCTGCAACTCCGTCTTCCGTTCTTCAGACAAAGACTGTTCATAACGAGCATTCAACTTCTGAAATTTGACAAATGTGTCAATATCAGCAGTGGATCAAATAAAATAGCAGTTTCAAAGAAGTAAAAAAGTAAATGTACTTTCAGAAAGCTGCGTAGCACTGATTCTCTACACGCTTTTCTCCGGTTAATAACCTTCTTATAATCAGAAGCATATCTCCAGGTTACGTCTTGTACATGATCAATATTGAAGGCAATGATATAGGTCGGTTCTTGATGCAGCTTCTTAAACGCTACACTCCATATTAAGCATAAAGCAATCGTCCAAATACCCGAAACTAACAGCTAAGCTCACTCTTTCAAAAGAAGAAGGTGAATCGCAAAGAGCTTCGTATGGGTCGCAATGAATCCATCGATCAAGGCTATTGATCCAAACTTCACACCACATATAATCGGTTACACTGTAAACCCACCTAAAAATCATAAAAAGTAACCAAAAATAAGACATTAAAAACTGTAAACTAAGTACAAAAACTTGACTGCTGTTCACAGTAAAACCTTCCTTCTACCTTGTCTCGTAGTCCATTGCCCTAAGACAGAGCGTGAAGCAGCCGACCCACTCAGGTATTCGACCTCTTCTGGAATACATAATTCAAGGAAAATCCAAACTTTTTGATTTACCAGCATTTTTTATCTTCAGACCTTGTTTCTAATAGCTTAGCTGGGTTACTGTACCGCGGAAATCGAAATGTCGACGAACACTGTCTGCAGTTATAAATTTCAACGTCAAAAGCACCGAATCTTCGTTCTTCTGGCAAAATGACTCCATGAACGCCTGAGAACCGATACATTTAAAACAACGCCTACAAAATAAAATAAAACACAAGAACTTCAGGAATTTAAATCCAAAACTACACGAAGAGAAAAAAATGAAAAACGAATATATATATATAATACACATAATATATAATACATAATATATATTCGTCTTACACTTGTTTACTTATTTACCAAAGAGTAGTTGTAAAAACCAATTGTACACTGTTTGCGAAGCCAAAACCAAACTCAAACGTAAAATTTCATTCGGCTTTTTAAAAATATCCGTAGTCAAAAGTAAATATTATTGGAAAAATGTTACTCTGCTAAAAAATTAGATTACCCGGATAGCCCATCGATATCAGCAACACGTAATTCTAATGTAGTTTTTAAATTTCTAAAAATGAGCAGCGCTAGTGGCCAAAAATGAACTCATAAGATTCTCTTCCAGTTGCTTCACAGTTTAAGGTGTGGGAAATGAGCGATG